CCCGGGCATCCCTGCTGTCGGGTGAACATTTCAAAGGCTTGTCCCCATCCCTCTTCATCTCCATTATCTCCCTGTCATTTCTTTTTAAGCCCCGTAACCTACGCCTACATCCCCTGCAACCAGAGTCATCTCTATCTTAGCAAACATCACCGCCATCCACCCAGGTGCTGGAGTCAAGAAGCTGGGAGTGGTCCCTGAGCCTCCTCTCCTGCTACCGATGACTGTCACCGACTGTCACCTTAGCTGCAGACCAGACAGCTCACCCAGCCCCTCGCCTCCCCCTCGCCCACCCTCAGCCCGGCCCCCTTCTCTCCCACCTGGCTGACTGCAACAGCACCTGAACTGGTCTCTCTGCTTCCAGCCAGACCTTGCTCCCTACCACAGCAACGCCATTCTCTCCTCAGCTGTCAATTTGTTCTGAAAACACAAACACTGTCGTGTCAAAACCTGCTCGGAAAACAAAGTGTGATTCTTTGTGGCGAATATAATAAAATCTAAACGCCTCCAAGGCCCTTCAGGCCTGGCTGGTGTCCATCTGTCCACGCCCATCACCCTGTCGTGTCCTGGGCCCAAGTCTTGTTGGAGTCTTTTACTGTCCTCCACACCATCGGGGTTTTCCACCTCAGGGTCTTTGGCCTTGCTGTTCCCGCTGCCCGGGATGCCCTTCCTGCTGGTGGCCTCTCCGTACAGCTTGGACGTCACGTTCTCTGGGGCCTTCGCGCAGCCAGGCGCTGTGCGAAATTTGTCACGTGCGTTACCTTCCTGCCTCCTAACCACAAAATAGAGGGAAAAAACAAAACAAAACAAAACGTTTTTATTGAGTCACTTCTGCCCTATGGTGACTCCAGTGTGCAGAGTAGAACTGAGCCCCACGGGGTTGTCAAGGCTGAGAACTTCACAGACGCAGATCGCCTCCTAGGCCCTGGGTGGGTTTGAACCACCAACCTCTAGGCTCATGGTGGAGCACAGAGCGTCTGCACCACTCAGGGGCCTCCTGACAACCTCGCAAAGCCAAGCTCACTGCCCTCAAGTCGATTCCAATCACAGCCACCCCCATTGGGTCTCCGAGGCGGAACATCGTCATGGAAACACACTGCCTCGTCTTTCTTCCCTGGAGCTGCTGGTGGAGTCAAGCCCCCGACCTGCTGGTTAGCAGCCAGCGCTCTGACCACCGCCCCACCCACCAGCCTCCCCCTGGCCTGCCCTGGAGTGCACAGGCCCTTTAGTTTCTATCTCGGTCCCTGTGGGCGTCGTCCCCGGGCCCGCCTCTGTCCTTGCTGGGTGCTGCTCCCGGCGGCGCTGGCACACCTTCTTACTTTGGGACGGAACCATCCTACTGTCTAAAGACGGGACTCACTCCCCACCCCGTCCCCATTTCAGTGCCAGCTCCAAGAAGGCAGGCATTTTGGCCCAAGTCACGGACCTCCGTGTCCCCTCGTTCTTACAACAGAGTTGGGCACACGGCATGGGCTCTCAGTAAACGTTCACGGACTGAAGAAACGTCTCCCTCACTAGAAACTGGGCTTCACCAGGGCAGGGACCCTACCTGTCCCGCACCCACGGCAGGCGCTCTGTGGGCACGGGCTGACTGGGGAACATTCCCAGAGCCTGCTGCCCTCCCAGGTTCCGCACCAAGGGGGCTCGCTCTTCCAACTCTACGCCATCTTCACTCTCCCCGTCCTGGGAGAGAGACGCTGAGGTCGAAGGAGCTGGGAGGACAGGTGGGGAAGGCTGGGCCCCAAAGTCTCCAGGGAAGAATGCTTCTCACCTCAGGGGACTGGAAAAGAAAACATGCCAATCCAAACCACCCTCCGAGGCGTCAATTCCCACTCATAGTGGCCCCAGGACAGAGTGGAACTGTCCCCTGGGGTCTGCAAGGCTGCAGATCTTGACAGAAGCAGACGGACTCATCTTTGTCTCGGGGGCCGGCTGGTGGGTGTGAACCGCTGACCTTCAGGTTGGCAGCCCAGTGCTGTAACCACGGTGACGCCGAAGCTCCGACCCGGGGGATGGGAGGCCGGGCTTCCAGGCCCATCAGCCTGGTCCTTCCAGAGACCCTCTGGCACCCTCAGTGAGATGGACAGGCCCCTGGTGATGACGTGGAGTCGCTGGGTGGGGCAGGGGGTTGAGCATCGGGCCACCAACCCAAAGTCTGGTGGTTTGAGCGCACGCAGAGTTGTCCTGGTGACGTGTGTGCTTAGAGAGGTCACGGACGTGGAAACGGAGCAGGCCGCCTCTGACACACGTGGAGGTGTCACGGGTTGGATCCTACTTGGTGG